CCTAAAAATAGGTCCTCCCTTGAGTCTCTACAAAGAAGAGTTGAGATTCCTCTGAAGACGAGAGAGAGAACGCGAAAGTTATTGCTTTTTATTTAAAAATTTTAGACTTGTAGTTTAAACTGTTGTGTAAGAAAATGCACTTAGCTTTCCTTCCTTGCATAATTTTAAATCCTTCAAGGATTTTTGTTTAAAGTTATCACTTAAGCGTTGCTCTGCCGTTTTCTTACTTTTGAGTGGTTTTTGTGATGCCTCTTGGTAGGTCATTCCACTTCTTGGATTGATGTTCGATGCTTTAAATGCTTCGTTAGACTGCTTTATTATAATAACAATCTTTACTTTGTTGTGGACTATTTCGCCTTTGCTTGTTATTAGATGAACATAATTCGTATGTTACCCTCGCCACTAACGATGAATATGCCGTTGGAGCCTTGGTTTTGGGTCATTCACTGAGACAAACTGGAACCAACAAGAAAATGACGATTATGATTACAGAAGGCGTTTCTGCCAATTTCAGGTAGCTCTTTTGCTAATTTTATCTTCTGCTTTACTACTACTGTATTTTAATCATTGCTTTGCTTGACATATCTATTAATTGTTCTTGTTCATGTGTTTCTACAATTTTTGATGAATTTTTAGGATAATAATTATTAATTATGGATAATTGTTGTGATTTTTTTTGTTTAGGGACGTTTTGCAAAGTGTATATGATAACATAGTTATCGTGAAACCCCTTCGAAATTATAACGAACATAATTTAGGCCTTATTGGACGTCCCAATTTGGGCATAACATACACAAAGCTTTATTGCTGGAAGTTGATTCAATTCTCGAAGTGCGTTTTTCTAGATGCTGACACAGTTGTAAGTATTTTACTTTATTTGTTTTTCGACCATTTGTTTGCAAATCGCAATGGATTTTATCACTAAGTGTTTTGATTTACGCCTTTTCTGAGTATATTTGTGTTAGTAATGCTGAAACCAAGAGCTTGGTGGACTTGTCATTCAGTCTTTTTCCCAATATTTGGAGCGACACGTCTTTATGTCACTTTTGTTTCTTTCCTGCTTGTCATTGCTTACGACAGAGGTTGCGTGTACTTTGTAAAATTAATGCGGAATTATACTCACTCTATATCTATCCCCTGATAACAATTATTGAACATCTACAGTCGCTATTTATTAATACTGGTGCATCGCATTCATTTTAAGTAGGGTCACGTTGGCTTAGGTCAAATTGTCAAATTTGATCAATTTTTCATTTTGAACTAACAATATATTGAAAAATACCTTATTGTTTGTTGGAAATGCATTATATTTGCTTCTAGTACATTTCAGTGCATATTAACTTTCTCAAGTTAGCTTTGTTCTTTTCTTCTATAATTTCAGGTGCTACGTTTCGCCTGATAAGATTTGTATAAATAAATTTACGTGATTTTCATGGCCTTCCTTCGTCTACCCTCTAATAAGTCATAGAGTATGATGTCATCAGGGCAGTTCTAATTCGGTATAAGTCCGAACGAGGCTCTTCATTTCCAACCAAGTTATCCCTAAACTAATGTGCCATCAATGGTGATATTAGTACAGGCCTTTCTAAAATATGAGGTACACTCTTTCGTTAAGTAATTGCAGTGTGCTATCCTATCTTTCAATTATGAAGAGGCCTACCTTTATCGTATCTATTTATAATTAAGGTGTTTACGGAATATTCTGACTGGTCTTGTAACACAAACTATTTCTTGGGTAATTGGAAATGCATGTATTCGTCGTTTAGATTGTCGATAGATTTTCACATGAATGTCATGAAAGATACTGCTTATTGGGCTAAAACTCAATAGCTCGATAAAATTCATCCTTGTATCAGCACGAACCTGCAGCTACGAGTTGTTGGTGTTTCCCTAGTATTGCCGCACTATCTTTGGTTGTCATACTTTTTTTCTCAGATATGATACATTTTCGTCCATAATGGGCAGATAAGTAGCTTTGTTTATGACATGTATCCAGCCAAATGGTGTGTTCTGATCACATTGTTATTTCCTGTTTATGCGCCGATGAAGGTTGTTTGTATTTGTGTACGGTTCATGACAAGATTAAGGTACCGCAACTCAAGCTTGAATAGTACACAAACTATTCCATTAAAGATTTCTGATTGTGCGCACGCCTGTGGTGTGCAAGGTGAGAGACCTCCCGGCTTGATTGAAAGCTTACTGTTTTAAATTGTTTGACAAAATGCGACTCCCCTTTCTGCGCATTGCAGTTTCACCATTGAGGTTTTATCTAAGAGCTTTGCAGCGTTTGAAACAAGTGCCTTATTGCACTTGGTCCCTTGGACACCCATCAAATGAGGGAAATAATCGGGGATAAGTTTATATATGCGTCAGTTTTCAACTTCCGTGCCATTTGTAATGGTAAAATATTTGCGTGTGTGATCGATTGCCTTCTTTTGTGCCACTTTCCCAAAATGCCATTAAAGCATTAAACACAAGTTTGACTTTGTCTGCTTTGAAATCAAGGGGCAAACCAAAATGCTTCAAAAGAATCCTTATTTTCGTTTCATCCTCATTACAATAGTTTCTATGCCATCTGTAATAGGGTGGGTGAGTTCTGCTCCCTTTCCTTCCTATGGTTGAATGCTCATCCCATATCCCAGTTTTTCTGCAACTTACGAGATGTTTGATCACTTGGTGATGATGAAACTTTTCCCAGCTGCATAACGCTTCCGCACCCAAGAAATATCCTCATTTGTCTGTCGTTAACTTTCTAAGTTCGCTTCAGCAGTACCAGTTGAGTTAACCACAAAAAAACCTTCAACCTATCCAACGTTATACTATGGCGGAGTATCCTTGGCTATATGAATGCTATTACTAGCTACTGCTTGGATCGGATGCATTATGCCCCTTTTCCTTTTCCTCTCTTCCAAGTATTTTGCTATTTGTGATTCGTGCTTTACTTTAACATAGGTTCTGCAAAACATTGACGAACTTTTTGAGCGCGAGGAGCTGAGCGCCGCCCCCGACGTCAGCTGGCCAGACTTGTTTAACTCGGGAGTCTTCGTCTTTCGTCCCAGCCTTAAAACATTCTCAGAGTTATCTCATCTGACCAAGACTAGCGGTAGTTTTGATGGAGGTGATCAGGTATGCTCCTTTCGAGCACTACATCGATTGAAGAATTGCTTTTAACTTACCGTGCCTAATAGGTAAGGTACATAAGCTCTGATGAGGATATGCAGGAATTTTAAAATTACGCTCCTCTTCCCTCCTGTCGGAATGAGTCATTTGTGTTAACAATTCAATGTGTTGTAATATCTTTGATCACGTAACTTTGTAGCAAACAGTTGGAAAAGTGCATGTAAATTGCTTGCAGGTGTTTACTTGCAAGGTTTACGCAACGCCTTGCTTGCAAGAAGAGGATGCTGGATAGCATCCATTCCTATTTGGTAAAACTCGGTTAAATGAGCGATTGAAGCCGCAGGTGTTAATCAGCTGGGAGATTGCGATCGTAATGTAATGGTCGTGGCGAGTGGGTTGCACCCACTCAACCCAATCTGGAAGTATTCGAGCTTCTAATTGCCTGGGGCTGACTGGCTCTCCATCTTGATTGCCCTTTGATACCTGTTGTAGAACTTCTTTTTCTGGCTGTGTGAGTTAATTTTCACTCAGCGAAAGGTCGTTGCAATTTGATGCTATCGCAGTCCGGCCAACTTGGACTACCATTGAACCGGCTTCACCCACTTCTTCCCAATTAGGGAGCAGATGCAGTACAACTACAACATGCGTTTGAGTGTGCATAACGCTACTGATTATCAAGACTGACCATATTAACGCCCAATGGTCACACGGTAGCTGAAAACACCTAAATGCTTACAATTTTGCCTGAAAGACAGCATAGCCATTTCGGCTGCTGCAACCTTTCCAATCAAAAAAGCTTATTGGTAATTATGAAATTTTGCTGTCGCACGGCGAATACTGCAGACATGATTACTCAGTTGACAAATCCACAAAACTCAATGTTCCTGATTCTTTATTGATCCCTAGATGAGCATTAGTAAAGGATTTGACGAATGTTAACAAGGCACGTCAAAAACACAACTAATTTCCTATTTGTGTTTTCCATCTTCAGAGCTTAACCGGATGGGTGCAGTATTTCACTTTGGTAACGATATCAAATGGTGACGGGGATGAGGTTGTCTGCCCGTTAACCCCAATCGAATAGTGTGAGACTTCGAACAAGGCCTAGTCTATCCTGTCCCTCGCATAACACTAGACACACGCATCAGAGGCCGTGCCTCGGTTCACTGACATCCTCTCCTTGTTACTTGATAGTTTGCCTCGATGGAGAGCATGTCCGCACGTCGTGTTTGCTCGTGTCGTTGCCACCCTCGTGGTGGGGCTTGGTGCGTGAATCCGTGCAGGCAATTGGTGCGATGATTTCATGGAGTAAACGCCACGGTTATGCTGAGCCACCAGTGTGTGATACCAAGTCTAGTTATTTCCTCCTCTAAACAGAAAGGAATTCGGTTGGCTGTAGGGAAGTTCGATTTAAGTTTGTGGTGCTTCGCCTTGGTTTCTTTTCATTCAAAGCAAATTATTCGTAGTTAACATCAGTTAGTGAAGTGACCATGTGGCATATCTGTTCTCCCTCCATTTACTTTTCCTCCGTCTAAAAGTACAATTACTAACGTTAAAATGTTCACAACAATTAATTGTGCCTTGAAAACGTGAGCGACGTAGATGTGAGCAATCTTTGCATAATTCAAAAGTAGAACTGTTTAAACCCAAACTGGGTAAAAAGATGGGTCAGGTGTCCAGGATTACTTAAAAGGGGACAAAGTGGTGAAAATTTGCTTAGACTTTTTTACTCATCTGCGGTTTCCGCCTCGTCATGTCGCCAAAATTCATGCGGCCGAGAGGCTTTTGGTGTGTGCGCAACTCTTTGAGAGCATTTGAAGCTGTGAATTTGTGCAATCATCTCGAAAATGTAGTACTCATTCGTTTCCGCCGATGTTTCCTCGTTTTTTAAATATTCACTTCATTCGATTTGACTTGCATAAACCATTTTGCGATTCCATGCACATTTTCCTTGTAAGGAGAGGATGAACTTTGGATTGCTCCAAACTTTTGGAACCTTGTATATGTTATTCATTACTGCTATCGAAATGAAGTGACAAGTTTGCGCGAATGCATCTGTAATACCTTCAAACTATATATTTTTTGCGCTTCTCGATTGCATTAGCTTTTACTGTGGCTTGCATCTTCTTTCGCTGTTTGATTTTGATTGATCCACTGCTACAACAGACTGAGCCGCAAGCCTAATTGTCACATTCCAGTGTTTGTGCATGCAGATCACTTGTGTCGCACTTGGGTCACAGACACACTGACATCCAGACGGTCCCTGTACTGATTGATTGTCTCCCTTTTGCCTGTCCATTGTGTCGGTACCGAGTCCGTCTGTGTGTCAATCTGCAGATTCATTTACGTCCGATCATAATGACCGCTTGACTCTGGCCTTCGAGTAGTTGTGGACACATAGGATAGCCTTATAAACATGAGTCAATCAGGGAGATGGGGATGGAAAGGGGGACTGAGGAATAGCACAGAAATTTATAGTGCACAGAGGATATTACTTGATTAGGACTTGTAGAAAATCGAGCAGGAACGTTTTCCTGGGATTACATGCATCCCCACCACTTACATACCTATGAACATCCTCATCGGCTTCAATGTATCCTCTCTCCGTAGGGTCTTCTTAACGAATACTTCAGCGGTTGGAGTACAGAGTCTTTGAATAAGCATCTGCCCTTTGCCTACAATTGCTCGTGTTGGGTCACACCGAATGATCGTCTCGTCTTCTACACACGTGCACCGGCCTGGAAGAAGTTCGGGAATCAGGTGAAGGTTGCCCACTTTACTGGTCTCCAAAAACCCTGGAAGTACGGTTTGAGTGCTAACGATACAGCAATTTGTCATGCCATAGAGCGACTCAAGAACTCCAACACCAACTTTACCGACGCAGAACAAATCAGTGTCTTGGCCCTGTGGTGGGCTATATTTTTCAAGAAAGTTAAGCAGCATCTTAGTTATGGAATGGTCAGTCTATTCTTATCTCATTAATTGACACACAAAAATTTTGCTTCTTTCCATTCCCTTTCCAAATTCTTTTGGATTGAAGTATAGTGCATGTTATTTGTGTCTTTTAACAGAAAGTCCCTAGTACGAAAAGCTCCTTGTTGTGTTACTAAGCCTTAGTGATGCTGAGACTTCAGACAATGTATTTTTCGATGCTTTCAGTTTCTATCAACAACCTTCGAACCGGTTCCCCTCTCGCTACCAAAGCCAATGGACCGTTATGCGTCCTGTAACCAGGACCAAAACGAGTTTTATTTGGAGAACGAACAATATCACCCTGAGTTTCATGACACCTCATTTGACCATTTACACAGCGGACAGAGAGTTGACGAGGCCAAACGATTTGAAAAGTACTACGTTTACGAGCAACCTCTGGACCCGGTAGAATTTCAGTGCCGGAAGTACTGTGAGGCCAAAATGGAGCATGGTCGTCATGACGTAAGCTACCACCAACAACCAACTTGTCGTGAGGAGCGCCAAAATCAGCTACTGCACCCTGAGCACTATCACTCCCGATCTGTTCATCAAGAGTACCATCAAGAACATTATGATCGGACGCATCAGGAGGGCCTCTTGCTTCAGAGACAACAGCATCAGCAGAATGAAAAGTGTCATCATGACAAAGATTGCCAGCATCAACAACATTGGTGTGATCAAACGCACCATAGGTTGATGTCTTCGCCAGCACCATCTGAACAAGACCGTGTTGAAACTCAGCAAAATGCCACGCCTTCTCATTCACTCCCTTCACTCCAAACGCAGTCATTGCCAGAACAACAGGAAGTAAGGAATGACAAGGATCCACTCTTCTTTGCACCTCATCCGATGTGTTGTGAGTGTCTGAAAGAGCTGCAATGGAGCAGGCAATTTGTGGATCCTTTCCATCGGAGGCTTATCACACCGATTTCATCTCTCTCAGTGGTCGCTCGCGTGAGACGTCGCTCAACGCCTCTCCTGCCTCTTGGACTCCAAGTGATCAGGAATTCACAGAAGCCGGTGCTCCCGGTTGCTGCCATTGATGAGCCTGCAAAAATGAATGGACATCCGTCTCGTAAAAAGGAAAAAGCGAGTTGCCTGCATCAAATCCAAAAGGGGAATTTCAGTAAAAAAAAGCGCTGGAGGAAGTCTAGTGAACGTGGTAAATTACTTGACGCAGCCAAAAAGCAAATACAATTAAAGGAAAATACAAATGTATTGACAAGCGCGGCTTCTTTAATATCCACATCGGAGAAGAGCCGAATGGAACCACAGGGGGAGAACACAACGACACTTTCAACAGCACTAGATACGATGTCAACCCTAACAGCACAGAAGAGGGATGTTGGAAAACATTCAATGTCTTCGGCGTCAGTACCCTACTTGACGGTTGCACAGGACACAAGCAGTGCATTACTAACATCAGCAGCTACATCAGATGTGAAACGAATGCAGTCAAAAGAAGACAATAGGACCTCACTGACATCGATGTCAGCGCCAATTACTGCGGACGTAATAAATAAATCTATAGGTCTTAAAGCGGATACGATTGATGCAACGGATCCTGGAGAGTCTGTTTCGGGTGATCTCTATTCGTGGCAGGGCGGGGTAACTTCTTTGGCTAGTTCAACAACGATGTCAGAGGATGGACTGAAGTCATTAAAGCCTAAAAAAGGGGAAGCTATGGAAGGTTTGTCTAAAGGAGTCAGACTTGAATCACATAAATCCCATGAGGAGATTAAGCCTACAGTTGAAAACGCTCCTGTAAACGATACACCGTGGCTGCCTCAAATAGTCAAAACACGAAATGTTCCTAAAAAAGTGAGCTAGCATTTCGTAGTGGATCTTTTTCTTGGCAAGACCTTTACATGTTTGTTATGGAGTATAGTGAACCGGCCCTTGTGCAAAACTCGGTACTTGAAATATAATAAAGCAGTTTCCTTGCAATAATTACTTAAGTGGAATATTAGTAAAAGCAAATTGGTTTTTGTAGGTGACGACGAGTACCAACTAATGTAACATGAAGGATAAAAATCAGGATAAAATCAGGAGATCAGGTGATCACTTGTTTTCTCCCCATCTGATTTAATCAAATGCAAATTCAAAAAGTAGATCCGATTTTATTTTGTTTTAACCATCGGTCTACTTTAAGGTGTTAAGCATTCCCATACTATAGGAATCATCGCATTCATCGTAATGAGCGTATTATGTGTTGCCAACTCGAGGACCCAACTATATGATTCTTTTCCCTTAAGAAATATGCACTGCACATTCTGGAGGAGGCACTGCCAAGTGGTCCACCATCTCACGATAGGTAGCGAAGTTGCACCATTCATTTATCGGTCGATACAGAGTTGGTTCTTCGCACAAATGCGATGCTCATTTTTTACTTTCAATGTCGTTCCTGTATTCCAGTTGCTACAATCACAGATGCAAAGGTAACGCAGAATATTTGGGATCGTTCATGCGGTGCTGACACCGACTTTTTATTGTTGGTCTCGCCCATCCACCAGACGGTCGACTTTAGGTGTTACGTTTCGTTTGGATTACATCACGCATAGTGATGGTCCCATCACCTGCCTCGGTCATTAATGGTCTCATTAAAACAGTACAAATGCGTTTTTACCTGTTTTAAGGGAATACATAGAATGTCAGACTTAGTTTTGGGTCGTCTTCAATTTAGAGGCACTCAACGCGCATGAAACAAGATAAAAATGAAATAGCTAATTTTGCTCCTTATTGGCTGGCTTTTAGCTTTCACAAGGGTCGCGGTACTTTTGCAATCGACACCGGCCGCATGCCCCGCCGCCGGATTGGCGAATGTTCGCGTGGGAGCGCGGCGACATCGACTATACGGGCAGTGATAGGTTCTCCAACATCCTCGCCCGCATACGCACCACTATTCAACAGTCGGAGGAGGAAGCGATGCCCATTGGTGTCTGGCTGTAGCATCCACCCACACCAAGTAATTGACGTAGTGAAATCTTCTCATTATTCCTTGCATATTCAAAGTTTTGCTCTCTAGTCGTTACGGATTTCCTTACCAAAGTATCGCTTCCCCACTTACATCGTTTAGCCCGAATTCCTGAAAGGTATGGTTATTACAGTCCATGGACAATCTTTTGGTGTTGTTGTCTATCTTCAAATCAAGTCCTTAACTAATACTTTTGTGATTGCTAACAATTACCAAGATAGATTTTCATTAACGTTTGAAAAGGAGTTACACTATTCCAACTGTTGTATTCTAATCAAGGCAGTCGAGTTGAAATTTTTCTTGATGGGTGTCGATCCAAGTGGAAAAGTACTTTCGTCTGAGTAGGCTAATGAGCTATTGTTCAAGTATATGGTTGAGGTGCAAAGCCGTCGTGGCCTGAGTTTCGTAAACGGATAACAATAGGCGATCCTATTTCATTAATGATGTCGATTTCGCATTCCACGGTAAGCATAGACACCTCCAAAGGATGGTGGGTAAAAAAGACCTGCTCTTGGTTTACCACTCTGGTGTCTTGGGAAGTGTTATTCGAATACAAATAAGCATTCCATCTCATAAACATTTCACAGCGAATCGAATAACATTGCTACTGACAGATTGTAAAGACCGCAATAAAAACGCAAGGAGATTTAAGAACCAGGAAAAAAATTACTGACATGACTACAACAGGCAAAATATCTAATGTCAAATAATTAAGAAACTTTGGTAGTGATGCAAGGCCAATTTGGGTATTGCCTGGGACAAATAGCAGATTGCTTTAGAATTAACCTTAAGCACGCTGGAATGTATACTAACCAGTCATTGAAAAAT